TTCCCTGGAGAAAAGAATGGCAACCCACTCCAATATTCTTGCCTGGGAAATCCCATGGACAGAGAAGCCTAGCAAGCTACAGTCCACGGGGCCACAAAGAGTCAGACACGGCTGACTGAATAACAATTTCACTTTATGGTTCTCTTAACCTTGAGGATTGTTGAGCTGAGACTAATTTCCTCAAGGGAAGAAAAAAATTCCAGATGCAAACTGAGACTTTAGTATGGGTTTTGGGAAAGATGGTTCAGATGTTAACAGTAGCAGATGCAATACCGGCATAGCATTAGCTTGTTCAAAGTCTCTTGATTAATCAGTGGGGGAAATAGTCAAACCCAATTTCGTCTCACTTCAAAATCCAAGTTCTTTGCACTACATTCTGCTTTATTTTGTGAATATGACTTAGTTTAGGCTTACAAAAAAGCCCTAATTCTAAAATACCTTTTTGAAGAGGGAGTGGGGTGAAGAGTGCAGGTGGGACATAAAGTGTTTAACACATCAAAAAGACATTCAGCCTTCCTGTAAAGGGCTGGATGAGAGAAGAGTTACTTGTCAAGGTGGAAAAAGTACATGCCCGTCTTTGTCTTGGCTGTTTGTTTAGCTCTTCCCTTTCTTGGATGATGGACTTGGTCCCATGGTTTTGGTGAAGATCTCTGGAGGCTCTTTGTTACATGCTGGGTGGAACTTAAATAAACAAATCAATGGTCAGGAGTCCCATGAACTCTGCATTCATTCCTAGAGGATGACAAAATGTCACTTGTATTTATGTGCAGCTTTTCTCTTCTTTTAAATTTTTCACTTTGCCCTATTTTGAAGCAATATTTCCTCAAACAAGCTAATTAGCCGCCCCCCCCCCCATTTGACCCGATTTAGACCTTTGACTTACTATGTAGTGGCTCATAGAGTTACCTTTACAGACGGGGGACAAGACCAGAATTATGCCCCATCTAGTCACTTTTTCTTTGTCCATCCTTGTCTCTGATAGATGGACTGAGGACATAACGCATCCAGGTTACATTATGAAAGATCAACAACACTTGCAAAGATGCCCTTTTGCTTTATAAATGAATGCTCCATTCTGAGAAACGTGTGAGCACGTGTGCCAAGTTGCTTCAGTCGTGTCCAACTCTGTGATCACATGGACTGTAACCCATCAGGCTCCTCTGTCCATGGAATTCTCCAGGCAAGAATACTGGAGTGGGTTGCCATTCCCTACTCTAGGGGATCTTCCTGACGCAGGGATTGAACCCGGGTCTCCTGAATTGCAGGCAGATTCCTTACTGTCTGAGCCACCAGGAAAGCCCCGTCTTAGTGGTACCGCTGGTAAAATTGGGTCCTAATGATGCTGCATAGAACCAGTCACCTCGGGGTCCTTCCATATGAGAATATTTCCTTGCTGAAGAAATCAGCATTACTGAAGCAAAGAGACTGAATTTTCTTTAAAATTCAGGTTGTTCTTACATATCTGGCCCCAACTTTTCCTTTCCTCACTCCATAAATGTTTTCTATACTATGCTCACCAATTTCAGGAACCCAGCTGGGCCATATTGTCTTACATCTCATTACCTTGTATTTGCTTTTGCCTCCACTAGCAAAGCAGTCACCCTTTCTCCCCACTCCATTTGTCTCATTCCTACTCATCACCAATACTAGGTCACAGTTTCAAAGATGTTTCTTCAGACAATTCCGCTCATCAAAACTGCATCAGAGTTTCCCTTTGTTTTCTCTCTGAGCTTCCTATAGTTATCTGTATTGTAATAGTCATTCACTGTATTGTACTTGCTTATGTAGCCAGCTGTCCTTATTCTACATTAGACCACAGACTCCTCAAAGTCACAGACTATATCTTATTTACAAAGTGGTCACAGCTCCTACTACAAGACTGGCATTAGCTGATAATTAATATATATTAAATAAATAAGTGAACAATCAACTTCCTAAAATAGTAAGTTTAAAAACAGTAAGGATTGCATTGCTACAGAAGTTGATGTAAGGTTCTATTTTGTCTTATAGTCTTTTGTCAGTTGGAGGAAGAAGAAAGAAACATGGATGTTCAGAAATCTAATAACCTCTTTGGAAAGCCCTCAAACACAGCATTACCTTTCCCCACACACACTTGTGTGGACAAGCTCATTGCTCCATCAAGCTTCCAGGAAAGAAGATGTTGAATCAAGCTGCATTCTTTATAAGCTATGTATTTGCCCAGAGGTGGACAGACTTTCACTACTGTATGCACCCTTCCTTAGGATTCTCTTCCCAAGGAAGTCTAGACTAATCAAGACTCATGAGGGATGAAGAAATGTCACTGAGTCATACAGAGGTGGTTTTGTGTCCCAGTGTTCTGAAGAAAGTCGTTTCAACTACCTTTTGTAAATGTGTTTTTAGACCAGGACCAGAACTATCAGCTCCACTAATACTTAGATATATGAACATGGAGACGTTATTGAGCTTCCTCATGAGTAAAATGAGGACATTATTACTTGTCCTATTGTTGTCATTAAAACGCATACACATGGTCTCTGGTATCAAGCAAATTGAAGTGATACTTAAGAAGGTAGCTGGAGTCACTAAACAAAGCTTTCAGCAATGGAAGTTTTCTCCCCAAACCATAGATGTTCCCATTCTGAAATATCATTACCCTTGGTCTAATTTGCAACAACTCTTTGTCAAAGAATTTAATTTAATCCTATATAAATATTTAAACTAGTTATTTCTTCAAGTATTCTGGAATCACATAGACTTTAAGACTCTGTACTTCAGATTTTCAATCCAGAATGGTCACTTGCTTTCTAATATAAACAGATTTTGATCCCAAGCTTTACATTCTAGTAAATCATAACTCACCCTGATGTTTCTATTCTATTCTATTATTGAATTATATACTGTAATCTGATTCAACTTGGTATTTCAAAAGCCAATCTTTCATCAAGATCCTCTAAGACAAATAAGATTTTTTAGGAAATAATTTTTTGGTAAATATATTTGTAGTCTGAAAGTCAATCATTTGACAAAAATGAGAAATACAAACCAGGGCTTTTGGGGTAGATGGGAATTTACCAGTTCAGAAGGTAAGGTAGGTAGTTTACATAAATTCACTTTATGAGACAAGTGAATGTTATTAAGCCATTTTATAAATACAGAAAACTAAGATCATGGCATCTGGTCCCATCACTTCATGGCAAATAGTTGGGGAAACAGTGGCAAGTGGCTGACTTTATTTTTCTGGGCTCCAAAATCACTGCAGATGGGATTGCAGCCATGAAATTAAAAGACACTTACTCCTTGGAAGGAAAGTTATGACCAACCTAGATAGCATATTAAAAAGCAGAGACATTACTTTGTCAACAAAGGTCCATCTAGTCAAGGCTATGGTTTTTCCAGTGGTCATGTATGGATGTGAGAGTTGGACTATAAAGAAAGCTGAGCACCGAAAAATTGATGCTTTTGAACTGTGGTGTTGGAGAAGACTCTTGAGAGTCCCTTGGACAGCAAGGAGATCCAACCAGTCCATCTTAAAGGAGATCAGTCCTGGGTGTTCATTGGAGGCACTGATGCTAAAGCTGAAACTCCAATACTTTGGCCACCTGATGCGAAGAGCTGACTCACTTGAAAAGACCCTGATGCCGGGAAAGTTTGAAGGAGGGAGAAGGGGACGAAAGAGGATGAGATGGTTGGATGGCATCACCGACTTGATGGACATGGGTTTGGGTGGACTCTGGGAGTTGGTGATGAACAGGGAGGCCTGGCGTGCTGCGGTTCATGGGGTCACAAAGAGTTGGACATGACTGAGCGACAGAACTGAACTGAACTGATAAATACAGAAACTGAAACTCAGAAAGCTTAAAAGCTACACAAAAGTAGGTGGCTGATCCCTGGTTTAAACCCAAATGCTCTTTCCACTAAGCATATACTGCTTACCTTTCCATTACACATTACCTCATCCCACCCCAACCAAGTAACTCCTTTTGAACCACATCCTGGAACATAAACAATTCTTTATTTTACCACCTGAGAATCTTTCAACAGTGTCCTTATCTAGAAGGTGTTCTCTTTCATCCTTCTCTGTTAGAGTCCTCCATACTTCAATACCCTGCTCTATATACTTATGGAAAATTCTGCCCTTGTGCCCTTGTGTTCTTGTTGGAATAAATATCTTGGTACCACTTGTCTGTTCTGTAATATATCCTGGTTCTTATATTGCTTTCTTCTTCTGATAGACCATATTCTTTAAAAACAAGTACTTAGTCTTATCTGTCTCCAGATTCTCACATTACTCAGAAGTTACTCAATAAATATTTGTGGAACTGATAAATATTTGTGAAAGATATTCCCTTTTGTTCTGTTAAACACATATTAGAGAACCAAATCTTTGGAAAAGTTATAACATGCTCCTTAAGAGCGATAATTGGTCCTGGAAACTTTCCAAAATGCTTAGAAATGGACTTCTTGTAAATCGTGTCCCCATTAAAAGTGGTTGACTAGGTTGCCTTATCTATCATTAGAGCACATATAATTTACCTGAAGAAATGACAGTGCCATAAAAGAACAATCACAAATGAGCTTATTCTAACAGCTGCCAGATGGGACCATGATAAAGTTCTCAAATAAAAAAGACTACCATTGACATTAATATATCAAACTGAGAAACTTGACTATTAAAAAAAAGTTTTTAAACTGTTTTAAAAGAAACATGTTTTTAAACAAAATCAATAAAATTATTTGAAAGATCAAATAAAATTTGGGTCACACAGAAAATTTGATAAGGAACCAATCACTAGAGGAGTCAGATGACTCAGATGTGCTCTCAAAGGGCGGATGGTTGCATATTGTGGAATTTCCTCTGACATGATGCAAGCATGATGGTGCACTTGTTCCCTACTCTTATGATGATATAAAAAGCCACAGAAGTTCCCTGCCCAACAGAGGTCCTCTGGGACAGCAGAGCTCACAAGCATCTAGAACACGAGCCAGAAGAAACCCAACCAAAAGCATCTTGTTCAAATATGACTTCCAAGCTGGCTGTTGCTCTCTTGGCGGCTTTCCTGCTTTCTGCAGCTCTGTGTGAAGGTGAGCATACCCTTCTGCTCTATAGAAGTTTCCTGTGTCTGAATGTGATGCTCAGATAGCAAGATTATCCTTCATGCCTGGATAACAAGCATCCTTTCTATTCAGCAAGAGAAAACCATCTTTGCAGTCATTTACTGTTAAAGTGAAGTTTTAATCTTTTAGGTTGTATCAATATATTTAGAAAGTTATAAAGTTTAATTTATATAAACATTCTGTCCCTATCATCATTCATACTCTGTAGTATACAAATAATTAACATAAATCTATAATTTAGAGTATATTTTATTGAAGGCCACATTTACCCATATTATCTATTAATATTGAGTAAGGTAACTCCTTACCTTATTTTACTCCATGTACTATTCAATTGAGTAGCTTCAGGCAACTATCATGCTTTTTGGCCTAAAGACAGATTATAAACCTTACTGGGATCCTCTTATGAAATACAGTTAAGAATGTTTGGGCTTCCCTGATAGCTCAGTTGGTAAAGAATCCGGTTCGATCCCTGGGTTGGGAAGATCCGCTGGAGAAGGTATAGGCTACCCATTCCAGTATTCTTGCTTTTCCCTTGTGGCTCAGCTGGTAAAGAATCTGCCTGCAATGTGGGAGACCTGGCTTCGATCCCTGGTTTGGGAAGATCCCCTGGAGAAGGAAAAGGTTATCCACTCCAGTATTCTGGCCTGGAGAATTCCATATTTCATAAGAGGGATCCCAATAGAGTTTATAATCTGTCTTTATGCACTCTTATGAAATACAGTTTAGAATGTTTATGGCATATACCATAAACATTATATATGGTATATGGCATATGTATATATGTTCTTAAACATTAGGGATTTTATTAAGATAGAGTACAATCTCTGGGTAACACACATATATTTCTATTAATTCCTCCTGAAGGCAGTTTCCCTTTTGGTATATATTAGTTTGTTATTAGTTAATAACATTGTGGTATCACAGAGGATTATACAGTGTTGAGGATGAGAAAACGTACCATGAAGATGTCAACATTCTCCAAAGACAATTCTAAGTCTTTACACCATTCAATGTTGTCAGGAATGATTCTTTTTAAAACAAAGAGAAAAACTGAAGTCAGGGGCTGGGAGAATATCCAGCCATCAGTTTCAGGGATAAGTTTGCTAAAGATGTGATGTTTACCAAACAGATCCTCACCAAATGATCACACTGGAATTAATAAGCATGAAGCTGGCCAAGTTGTGCTTATGGATGAAATAAATGCTTAATTTTTTCCACAGCTGCAGTTCTGTCAAGAATGAGTACCGAACTTAGATGCCAATGCATAAAAACACATTCCACGCCTTTCCACCCCAAATTTATCAAAGAATTGAGAGTGATTGAGAGTGGGCCACACTGTGAAAATTCAGAAATCATGTAAGTAATTTCAAAAGTGATTAGATATTTTACTTTAGTCAGCCTAGAATTGAGATGTGGAAGAATCCAACAAAGTTCTAGGTACTAGGAGTACATAGTGAGAAAAATAGAAAGGAAAAACTCTTTGTCTTCATGGCATTTAAATATGAGACTCTCCATGACTCACAGCTAAAAATTGGTTTGGACTTCCATTTTATGCCTGTACTCAAAGAACCATGACTTGAATGGCAAGGTGGTGTTTGAAGCCCGTTAAATATTGAATTTAATCATATCTCTCTCATTTCAGTGTTAAGCTTACCAACGGAAAAGAGGTCTGCTTAAACCCCAAGGAAAAGTGGGTGAGGAAGGTTGTGGAGGTATTTGTGAAGAGGTAAGTTTTTCTTGAATTTATATCCTTCATTTATCCTGTGACATTTACTCCAAAGGTCAGCCTTTAAATTTTCTGCTGCTGCTTAAAATTATTTTAAGTAGCTACTGCTTTGATTAAAAAAAAATAGCAGCAATAGTGAATTTGTTGTACTCATGACTGGGAGATCATATATCTCAGTTTGTCCAGAGAAGTCGTTAGTAGAGCTCCCTATAAATCTCCTAAATATTCTAGTTTAGATAACTTATCTGATCTCTCTATCTGTAGTTGAAAATATAGAGCTTTTCTAACACATGAATATCTAAGACTCTCTTAATTTCTATATTAAGTATATTTTTAAGAACCATACCTTTCTCCTTATTAGAACATTGCTAATTTTTAAACTTTTTGTTTTATTTTATGTATTTTCAGAGCTGAGAAGCAAGATCCATGAAAAAGAAAAAACAACCAAAAATCCTGTTTCCATTGCTTCCAAGAATTTCTCAGTAAAGATGCCAATGAAACTTCAAAGCAAATCTACTTCAGTGCCTCGTGTACTGTGTGGGTCTGGGGTAGGGTTGTCAGATAAAATACAGGATGTCCAATTACATTTGAATATTGAGTAAAACAATGAATATTTTTTCACTGTCACATGTACATTGTTCCATGTAGGACATGCTTATATTTTAGAAATTATTCATTGTATACTGTAAATTCCAATCAATCTGGAAATCCTGCTTTTTTGTTTTTGGTTTTTGTTAATCTTGCAACCCTAGACTGTTGGCCAGGATTCATGAGTGCCTGTTCAACTGTGCCCCGGTTTCTTTATTTCTAAGTTGGAGAAAAAAATCTCAGCCACCTTTCTACCTCACAGAGATGTGAGGACATGTGGAAGCACTTTAACTTTTATTTGGTCATGTAAATTATTTTCAAGTGTAACTTATTTAGTTATTTATATATTTATTTAAGTCTCAAATACAATAATATTTGTACATGAATTTGGAGAAATAGGAAAGAAGCATTGTTGATAAGATGGTATAATGATGGTAGTAAATTTGTACTTATTTTATATATTAAGTGATGTTTTGATCAAGATTGTTATATTGTAATCATAGTTACCAGATTAGCAAATTAAAAGACACAAACAGAAAGGACTCTCAATTTTTCTTTCAGATAAACAATGGATAACTTTTAGTATACAAATACATAATTATTTATCTGAAATTTTAATTGAACTGGAAGTCCTACTTTTGAGATGTCTGGCCTGGTCTTGCCCTTATGATGCAATGATGTGTTCAATCATGTGAATCCTGAGACTATCTTTCTTAAATCTGTAAAAATTTACCAGGCTATAGGAATTAAGTAATTTTTTGTATTATTTATTTATTTATTCTGAACAATTAGAATCTCATACTTTAAATTATTGTGTATTCCAACATCAACTTTATTTTTGACTTTAAGATGCTTTTATGTGTTCACAGTTCTTTCTACTGTTTTTGATAGTACAAAAATATGAATATAACTATAAGACATTTAAAATAAAATTCATTGTCAGAGTCATCAGGAGTTTGTCTTCATTTTTCTTTGGTAGTTTTAAGATTTGTTGCTGTATTCATTTATATTAAAATTCATGTTTCAATTTAAAAAACATAATACTTACCCTTAATATTTTATGTATTATGTGGGAAATATATTTGCAGATAAACATAACTCCTTTCCAGAGGTAGATTACAATCAGTAGTCTTTTCCATAGAATGATGGAAATTTTCTCAACTTCCCACTGTATACCATTTTACTAAATGAAGGTGACTTCAGATTTTCAACAGATAACCTAGGTGTCTGTGCAGCTTAACCCAACTGGACACTCAATGAAAAAAGGAAAGAGGGCACTCATTATAAAGCACTTCTCAGCTAACTGAGGAAAACTGATACACATGAGACAAAGAAATTTAAAATATAATTAAAGACCGAGCATATTGGAAAACAAATCAAACAAAACTCTTAAAAATAAAACCACAGTCTAACAACAACAAAAAAACCACTCAGTGGATGAGTTTTATAACAGATTAAACACAGCTATAAAGAAAATTAGAGATCAGAAATAAATCCAAAAGATTTTATCTGGAATTTAAAGAGATACAAAGAGATATAAAGAGGTAGTAAATTAGAAAAGGAGAAAGAAAGACATAGAAGAATCAGGGATAAAGATTTATTGATGTCCACTTGGATTTTTACAAGCAGTTGAGAGAGCAAAGTGTCAACATTTAAAGTGAATGGTTGAAAACCTCCCAGAAATTATACAATAAAAACAACAATAAATTTTAAGAAATCCAACTTGGCAATTCTTAACTCTACATTTCTAGTCAAAAAAAAAGGATCTTAGAACTTTAATGTTTATCCAACTCCCATCACATTTACTAGAGCCAGACATTCTGGAATGTGAAGTTAAGTAGGCCTTAGGAAGCATCACTAGGAACAAAGCTAGTGGAGGTGATGGAATTCCAGTGGAGCTATTACAAATCCTAAAAAATGATGCTGTGAAAGTGCTGCACTCAATATGCCAGAAAATTTGGAAAACTCAGCAGTGGCCACAAGACTGGAAAAGGTCAGTTTTCATTCCAATCCCAAAGAAAGGCAATCCCAAAGAATGCTCAAACTACCGCACAATATGCACTCATCTCACATGCTAGTAAAGTAATGCTCAAAATTCTCCAAGCCAGGCTTCAACAGTATGTGAACCGTGAACTTCCAGATGTTCAAACTGGTTTTAGAAAAGCCAGAGGAACCAGAGATCTAATTGCCAACATCTGTTGGATCATCAAAAAAGCAACAGAGTTCCAGAAAAACATCTATTTCTGCTTTATTGACTCTGCCAAAGCCTTTGATTGTGTGGATCACAATACACTGCGGAAAATTCTTAAAGAGATGGGAGTACCAGACCACCTGACCTGCCTCTTGAGAAATCTGTATGCAGGTCAGGAAGCAACAGTTAGAACTGGACTTGGAACTACAGACTGGATCCAAATAGGAAAAGGAGTACATCAAGGCTGTATATTGTTCCCCTGCTTATTTAATTTATATGCAGGGTACATCATGAGAAATGCTGGGCTGGAGGAAGTACAAGCTGGAATCAAGATTGCCAGGAGAAATATCAATAACCTCAGATATGCAGATGACACCACCCTTATGGCAGAAAGTGAAGAAGAACTAAAGAGCCTCTTGATGACAGTTAAAAAGGAGAGTGAAATAGTTGGCTTAAAGCTCAACATTCAGAAAACTAAGATCATGGTATCTGGTCCCATCGCTTCATGGCAAATAGATGGGGAAACAGTAGAAACAGTGTCTGACTTTATTTTTCTGGGCTCCAAAATCACTGCAGATTGTGACTGCAGCCATGAAATTAAAAGATGCTTACTCCTTGGAAGAAAAGTTATGACCAACCTAGACAGCATGTTAAAAAGCAGAGACATTACTTTGTCAATAAAGTTCTGTCTAGTCAAGGCTATGGTTTTCTTCAGTAGTCATGTATGGATGCGAGTTGGACTATAAAGAAAGCTGAGCACTGAAGGTATCATTTGAATTTCAGTAAGTAGATATTACTAACTTTTATCTCTCTAAAGAAAGCTGAGCGCTTAAGAATTGATACTTTTGAACTGTGGTGTTGGAGAAGACTCTTGAGAGTCCCTTGGACTGCAAGAAGATCCAACCAGTCCATCCTAAAGGAGATCAGTCCTGGGTGTTCATTGGAGGGACTGATGCTGAAGCTGAAACTCCAATACTTTGGCCACCTGATGTGAAGAGCTGACTCGTTGGAAAAGACCCTGATGCTGGGAAAGAATGAAGGCAGAAGGAGAAGAATATAGCAGAGGATGGCATGGTTGGATGGCATCACCAACTCAATGAGCATGAGTTTGAGTAAACTCCAGGAGTTGGTAATGGACAGGGAGGCCTGGGGTGTTGCAGTCCCTGGGGTTGCAAAGAGTTGGACACAACTGAACGACTGAACTGAACTGAACTGCACACACTTACTATTGATGTGGTTATCTTAAGTCCCCTTGTTTTTTTTAATTATAAAAAAGCTACACATTTTGGGATGAGGAAAAGTCCTCTATTATTTTTTCATTTGTTAGTTCATGTTGCAGTCCAATTTTCCTATGTTGTTTAGCTCTTTTCAACCACCCTAGATACATGCAACTGCCATTTTCTCTCTGAGTCAACATTATCAACAGTGTGGAGCAAAGCCCATTCTCTTTTCTAATTCCCAATCCACGTTAACACAAAAGTGTGCAGCATAATAGAATGTTTTTTAATTAATTAATTTTTTAATTGAAGTTAATTGATTTACAGAATTTTTCTGTTTTCTGTCAAGCCTCATGATGAATCAGCCATCAGTTCAGTTCAGTTCAGTCGCTCAGTCATGTCTGACTCTTTGTGACCCCATGAATCGCAGCACATCAGGCCTCCCTGTCCATCACCAACTCCCAGAATTTACTCAAATTCACATCAATTGAGTCAGTGATGCCATCCAGCCATCTCATCCTCTGTCGTTCCCTTCTCCTCCTGCCCCCAATCCCTCCCAGCATCAGAGTCTTTTCCAATGAGTCAACCCTTCGCATGAGGTGGCCAAAGTATTGGAGTTTCAGCTTCAGCATCAGTCCTTCCAATGAATCAGCCATAGGTATACACATATCCCCTCCCTTTTGAACTTCCCTCCCATCTCCCTCCCCATCTCACCCCTATATGTTGGTACAGAGTCCCTGTTTGAGTTTCTTGAGCCATACGGCAAATTCTCCTTGGCTGTCTATTTTACATATGGTATAGTAAGTTTCCATGTTACTCTTTCCACACATCTCACCCTCTCCTCCCCTCTCCCCAAGTCCACAAGTTTATTATCTATGTCTGTTTCTCCACTGCGGCCTTGAAATAAATTCTTCTGTACCATTTTTCTAGATTCCATATATATAGAATTTTTGAGAGTGATGCACAAGCAGGAACCAACTGAAAATTCAATGCCAGTAGTTTCTGTTCTTCGAAACTTTGTTTCCCTCTGGAGGTAAACTCTCTCTGCCTATTGATCTTTACCAGCCCTGCTGTGGGGCCCCCTCTTCCTCAGAGTTCTGCTTAAATTTCACGTCCAGTGTTCTCTGAAGACCCCAATTGGATTTTTATAATTCCCTTGTCCTACCCACCTTTGTAGTCATCTTGCAGATCTCATACATAGTGAATATAACAGATAACAAATTATTTTAATAAAATGGTGATGGGAGAGATACAGGGTTCTTCAGAAGCAGGTAGCAAGGAGTTATCTAACCTAGGTAGTCTGTCCGGAGAAAATCTAAAATATGAAAGATGAGTAGGGGTTAGCCACACAAAGGGAAGAAGACTATGTGGGAAGACTGGTCTAGAAGACAAGGAGGAAGTAATTTGTGTGATTTGAGAAGTGAAAGAACTTGG